TATATAAATAATAAAGGGAAGAGTATGTCGATTCACTTTTTCTAAATGATATTCATACTCACGGATTTCTGAGTTATCACAAATCTGTTTATAGAACCATCATTTACACAAAAAACAATTTCACAAAATTTTCTCTCTTTTTGCCATTTTGAGAGGGAAAATTTGAACGGTTATAGGTTGAGACGGAGAGTTGGTGTGACGTAGGTTTTAGAAAAACATTTTCTTTATCGTTCCAACGTTTCGATCTTTATTGAGATCATCTTCAGGGCCTGGTATTTACAAACATTGTTCAGGGCCTGGTATTTACAAATATTGTTTAAACCATACCAACCTTCAACCGTTCTAATTTTTCCTCTTTTTGCCATTTTCAACGTATACAAACACCTTGAGCCCTGAAGATGCTCTCAGTAAAGATCGAAACGTTGGAACGATAAAGAAAATCTTTTTAGGGGGAAAATTCGATCAGTTGTAGGTTGAGACGGAGAGTTGGTGTGACGTAGGTTTTAGAAAAACATTTTCTTTATCGTGCCAACGTTTCGATCTTTACTGAGATCATCTTCAGGGCTCAAGGTGTTTGTTTACGTTGAAAATGGCAAAAAGAGGGAAAATTAGAACGGTTGAAGGTTGAGATGGTTAAAACAATGTTTGTAAATGCCAGGCCCTGAAGATGATCTCAATAAAGATCGAAACGTTGGCACGATAAAGAAAATGGTTTTTTGAAACCTACATCACACCAGACCGCATCTCACGATTTCTGAATAATGTTGAGATGGAGAGTTGGTGTCAGAAAGGATCGAACCCACGATCTTCGGCTAAATACGCCGCTGCTCTATCACTTGAGCAATCGTAACCTCGATCCACTCGGACACCAACCTCCCATTCTCAACCTACCTTTAGAATTTTCTTGAAAAATGGCAAAAAGAGGGAAAATTCGAAAGGTGGGGTTGAGATGGGAAGTTAGTGTCCGAGTGGATCAAGGTCACAATAGCTCAAGTGGTAGAGCAGCGGCGTGTTTAGCCGAAGGTCGTGGGTTCGAATCCCGCTCGTGACACTGACTTTTTTACCTCAACCAACCTTACATAAAAAGAATAATTAATTGATTGAAAGAAGTAACTTGGACAATTGTCCACTAAAACGTAAATGGAGTTATGATACTTTACTTTCTTTATAAAAGCCCTAATTTAAAAAAAGTTACCCCTTTTTTAAAAGTTTTTGTTTATGTACAAGTGTATTTTTTCTTTTCATAATTTATAATGTTCTAAACCAGGCCTACCTGCTAACAAATACAAGTTTTAATTTTTTACGAGGGTTCACAACAGCATAGGTCATAAAAACCCTCAGGGTGCCGGTGTTTTTGAAAAAAAAGTCCATTTGTATGTCGGGTTCGAACTGCAGGGCCGCTGGATTCGAACCCAGGACCTTTACCTTACAGTGAGCGCCGTGTCATCGCCTAAACCATTGCGGCCACCGATGCCCCACCTAAATACAAATTGCTGCCTACTGAAAGCAAGCGGTTTTGTACAGATATTGTTATATTTATTTCAAATTAATGTTTAATTTGTATAGAACGTAAATATATAATTTAAAATCTATTATTTTACAATTCATTAACTATATTAAACGTACAATCATGAATACGTTGTTCTTTACTAAACCACTGTTCAAAAATTAATGTTAAGGTGAAAACTTTTGGCTTAAATAATTCAGTTTGCAGAGAAGATAGATACAACGACTTCGTGCTCACTTCCTAATCTTCTAAAGAAAACGTTTACCTTTTTTATTACATTTTGATCAATTATTCGAGACAAACACACCTTCGAAATATTCTAGTGTAACAGTATTTCATGCATGACGGGAAAGCTTGTTTATAAAAGGGAATGATGAAAAATGGAAAACCATTACTTTTAGAGAGCAATCTTCGATTTCATTCAACATTTTTTTTATATGATATAAATCAGATGACTATTTTAAATAATGTTTTATGGAAAAGGACTCACTGTATGATTGGACGTGTTCATTGCTGTATATGAATTTTTTTAATATGTAAAACGTGTGATTAAACTCTTGTCGCGATTTTTTTCAACTAATATGACATGATGTGAAATGATTCTTCGATAAGAACGAAAATAAAATAATACGTCATAACTTATAAAGATCGAAATTCTATATTTCCCAATCCGCTAGAATGATGGAACGCATACGATATTGAAGAATTATTTTTGAAACATCTTATATTTCACACATTCATCCACCGAGAAAAATATTGGTTTCACACACAGGGTGAAAAGGTAAATGAAAACGAGAAAACCTTCTCCTGTCGTTAATTGGTTTGGCAGTGTAAATCGATATCGTATACAGTGATCTGTAATTTTCGTTAACTGGATGGAGTGGACTTTCACCAGTGGATCGAAGTTACGATAGTTCAAGCTGTAGAGCAGCGGCGTATTTAGCCGAAGGTCGTGGGTTCGAACCCCCTCGTGACACTTAACTTTTTTATCTCAACCAAAACCTTAATTAAAAATTAATTAATTGAAAGAAGTTATATTTGGTCAATCACACCACGACATATAATGGATTTATTCAGCTTTTGTGTTGATAATTAAACAAAATAAAAAAGTAGAAATTATTCTTAAAAATCACTTATGGTATACCAAGCACATATCACTTCTCTGTTGAATAGCATGATTGTCTGTTGAATTATAATCAATTGGAATGTTTATGTATTAACAAAACACTTTATTACTATGTTTTCAAATAAAAATAATTAATTGACTTTTTTTTACTACTATCACAATATTTCATTGAAAAAATAATTCAAATAAGTTTTTTTTCCATTATTCCATTACCAACTTTATAAAAATTTACAGAATTTACCTGAAAGGAAACCCAACCCAAACAAAAGTAACTCTCTCTGACCCATATTATAGTTCTTATCTAGGAATGCATTCAGGGAATAACAGTAGATTACAAGTAACCCAGAAATAATCAACTTTTTTTACTTTGCTTTAATTAAAACGATATAACGTTTTTATTACTTAAATTATTTTATTATCTGTATAAAGTAAGAAGTACGACTTCTTTTCAATTAGTCGAGAAAGTCTGGAAAAACATGTTGAAAGTTAAAAGTTTATCAGCTGCGTGGCCTTATAAATTTTCAGTAAAGATTAAAGTTTTAAATTTATTTGTATTTTTTAATGTTGTATTTTTTGTAGTTCATTTCTTTTAGTTTTTTTAATCAGTTACACTCTTGCTCTCTTGCTCCTCTCTCTCTATCTCTATATATCTACCTATCTATTATCTATCTATCTACCTATGTATCTATCTAACTACTTATACATCTCTTACTTTTCTACTTTTCTCTCTCTCACTCGCTCTTTCTTTCGCTTCTCTCTCTCACCCCTCTCTCGCTCTCTTTCACTCTCTCTTTCACTTTCTCTCTCTCATCACTTTTTTTAAACCACTTTTGCGATGCTACCTACCTATCTATCTATCCATCTATCTATCTATCCATCCATCTATCTATCCATCCATCCATCCATCTATCTATCTATCTATCTATCTATCTATCTATCTATCTATCTATCTATCTATCTATCTATCTATCTNAATCCATAACCATCCCTAACCATATATATATTGACCTATCTATCTATCTATGTATCTATCTATCTACTTATATCTCTCTCACTTTTCTCTCTCTCACTCGCTCTTTCTTTCGCTTCTCTTTATCGATCTACCTATCTATCTACCTATGTATCTATCTACTTATATATCTCTCACTTTTCTCTCTCATTCGCTCTTTCTTTCGCTTCTCTCTTTTTCTCTCTCTCTCCCTCTCTATCTATCTGCCTGTATATCTGTCTATCTATCTATTTATATATCTCTATCTATGTATGTATCTATATATCTATTTACTCATATCTCTTTCACTCGCTTTTCTTTCGGTTCTCTCTCTCTCTCTACTTTCTCTCTGCCTCTTTCCTTCTCTTCCTATATATATTTATGCTTAGTATGTCGTCCTTCCGTTTTTTTTGTCACTCTGTTCATCATACTACAATTGGAAGCCTGCGTTAGGACTTGGCTACATATATTTATCTAAATAATATCCCTCATTGTGCGTCCTGCCAATTTCCATTTTGCTGTTTTGTCTATTTTATACATCTTGTCTCTGTGTTAGTTCTAGTTTCCTAGTTGTTTCTTCGGCCTTTTGTGTGACTCCTTGCCTACTTTTCTCCAATGCCATTTGAGTTGATCCAAGTCTATTTAATGTCGGTTCTATTAGCAGCTAGATTTATATACATAATACACTTTTTTCGATAGATTTTCCCCCTATAATCTAAACTTAAAATGTTTGTTGATTTATCAATAATTTGGTTAACACAGTGAATATTTGTTCTTTATCGCATTTTTTCCCGATAGATTTAGAATAATTTCATGTGCGATTAATATACCAATATCCTACCCAATTGGATTAAAATTAATTTAATATTTGCCCTTGGTACTTAAAACGCTTGGAATTTTGCACTTTTTATTAATCTACTTTGAAACATGTTTGAGAGCCGGAGAGAATTCATTTAAAATCATTATTTTAAACCACCTCTCTTTTACTTCATTACATTGTTTATCACTTTTATATATATAATATATTGTGTGTGTGTATGTACGTTCAATAACAAAGGATTATTTAAGCGAAAAATCCAATTCCCATTGAACAATTGAAATATAGGCAAATTCATAGAAATTTTATTTTTAATTTCGTTGTTTTGGGGATAAAACAGTTTTCCAGAGGAGTTATTAATATTTTTGCCACAAAGATAAATTTTCTGTAGCTTCGAATTTCAAATAATGAGGGAACGAAAAAGTATAAGGGGAAGGACATTAGGTTGCCACTAATATTTCATAATTCTTAACTCGCATCACAAACGTTGTATAAAATCCAGAAATTTTTTATTATTTATGCATTTGCAAAATTAATTTTAGATTGATTTTGGTTTCAGAAAGAGACCACAAAGGAGATGCTGTTGTTAGGTCTCTTCCTCATGATATGCCACAAGTCCCATACCATCCTGAACAGCAAACCTTGGCCCGAGGACATATTCACGAACAACACCACCTTGACCCAGTTCTACGAGAATGATTCGTATCGGGTCTTGGACTATGAACGATTCGAGTGGAATTGGATGAACACATCGGCCAGCGACAGCAGACTTAAGATGAACCATCGGGTCGAGAAGAAACTTCGGATCGAGGACTTGAAAGTCGACTGGCCTGTCAAACGGTCTTGCGAGATCCCTGGGGACTTCCTGCTAGGAGGACTGATGATGGTTCATGAACGAGAGGACACAATCACCTGCGGGCCTGTAATGCCGCAAGGAGGTAAGAACTACAAATTTTGTTGTGTATGACGTAGCTAGCTTCTAACTTTTCAGTGGTGCAATAAATTTTTAAAGTCACTCCTATTAACCTAATCTAATATCTAGGGCAATATAACTAAGTCGTTTATTTTTTCGTCAATCGTTTGTTCATCATGACTGAAGCGCTCTTGAGTTCATGGCCTTTCAGTCAAACTTTTTCATTTCATTTTTGAAAATAATCTTACCAAAACGTGAATATATTATTTTTTCCCTATCGAAACAAAGATCACTTGAATCCTTTTCAAAAAGATAGTTCCTACTCACAGTAAATACGGACCGGATTTCGAGCCCTTTAGCTCATCATCAGTTTGAAGCGGGGTTTACCAACTCAATTGTAATGATGTGATATTAAATATATAGGACAAAGCGGTAGAGAAATAAAAACGAGAGTAAAAGAACACTTGCCTAAATCGAGCAAATTTTCGGAATTTAAGGACCATCTATAAAAGAAACAAAATATAATTTCAATTCAAATTTAAATACAAAATTGTTACAAAGTTTCAACAAAGGGAGAGAACTAGATTGGTTTGAGAAATTTGAAATTACAAAATGTAAAATTGAACATGATAATAAATGCATTAATAATATAACAGATTTGATCTATCGTACCTCCCATTTTAAATATGTACATAAATAATATTAAACGTCCAAATAATTAAATTAATTATTTTATTTAATATTGTTTTTATAATAATTTAATAATATTAAGGTATCATTTTAATTTTCTATCTTTTATCTTTAATCACTAATTTATTATTAATTTCTTACAGTATTTATATGTTGAAATCCTTCAATCTGATGATGAGCTAAATGCTCGAAATCCGTATCGTTGCAAAACAACTTACTGTGAGTAGGAACTATTTAAAAAAAATGGATTGAACACCAAACTCACTCCATCATTTATCATTTCTACAGATCACTTGATGCCATGTAGTACCCAATGATGTATTCCATTCCTTGTACCATCTTATCCGGACGAAAAGCCTTCGTTTCGAATCACTGCGAACATTTTTCGACTCCTACCAAAACAGTGTAGTTTTCCTTGCCTATATCATTAATTATGTATCTTTAACTATACATTTCCCATCACAAAGTTTCGTACCTCGGAAATGTATCCTTGTGCAAGCAAGCCACGATGTTTTGAATCTGTCTTTTAAGTAAGATTTTCAAATCAGGTTAAAAAAATTATGAAGTTTCGTCTAGGAACACATCAAAGCGATGACTTCACCGCAGTGGTACTTTTGAAAAATGAAATGGGTCTGATACAAAATTTTGTGGCCAGAAAAGAAAGTTTTGAGGTTGGCTTAAAAAGGAGTATTTTCTCTACGTTTTTCCCCACTATAGGCAATAGATTTATTATACAGAAGGATGATTTAAGGTGATGATGTTTTTCTGCCTTGCGATTATCCTTATGAGATAAATTTCTTATTGTCATGGGGAGTAGTTTGCAGTATAAAATTGTAAATGTACCTAAGGAAATCAATAACCAAATAATAAATAAGGAAAATAATAACCAAAGAGGTAGCGCATATTGGAATATGGGCAGTGTTTACTAAAATACTTCCTAGTTCACTAATTTCGTGGTCCGCTTGACCAATTAATATATTACAATTAATTAAGGTTTTTAGTTGAGATAAAAAAGTCAATGGCAGAGCGGGATTCGAACCCACGATCTTCGGCTTGACACGCCGCTGCTGTACCACTTGAGCTATCGTGACCTCGATCCACTCGGACATCAACTTCCTATCTCAACCGCACCTTTTGAATTCCTTTTGAAAAATGGCAAAAAGGAGGGAAAATTCATAAGGTGGGGTTGAGATGGGAAGTTGGTGTCCGAGCGGATCGAGGTCATGATAGCTCAAGTGGTAGAGCATCGGCGTATCTAGCCGAAGGTCGTGGGTTCGAATCCCGCTCGTGACACTGACCTTGTTTATCTCAATTAAAAACCTTAATTAATTGTAATACTTCCTAGTGGTGCCAGGTCGTACATTTTTAATACGGAAAATCACAAAACCTTCTCTAGGAGAGGATAGCTTATGTGATAAGATTTGCTGGAAAAGACGTACGGTTATTAGGTCTTATTAGATGGTCCTATTGATGTCGGGAATCTTCAGGTCTGGATGAAGACAGAAAACGATAGATAGCAATGAATTAAGAAGGGTTTTTTTGTTTTTGATTACAGGTAGCCCAATAATTTCGATGGACAGGTAAAAGGAACGGATTTTATGTTGCTGCCCAACGAGATGTGGCTTCTGTGGTCAGTAAACGTGTGTAATCGTTGTCGTCTTAGGTTCTTCTTTAAATCAGTTTTAGTCTTCTGTCAGATTGATACAGATTACTCTGCCATTAACTGTTTTTTTTAAATTATTATTTATTAAAACTGGTCTTATTAGACCAACCATTAATTTTACATTAATCTATTTTCGGAAAATCACTGGTATAAGAAGTAAAACAGTGGACCTAATATGTTACCTTGTGCTACTTAATCTGTTGCGCGCTTTTTTTTTTTTTTTAAAGATGGTAAGTTGAAAAATTAGAACTAGAGAAATAAAATATAACGTTTTAGGAGTTTTTGACGATTTCATTTTTATAACTTATAATGACATGATATGTTATGTTCGTTATTAAAATCGCAAACAAGAAATATTCTCATTTATTTACCTCATTCAACAAACGAAATTTGTATTTTTATTATTTGGAGGTAGTGAGGTCCGGTCTGGTGTGACATAGGTTGTAGAAAAACATTTTCTTTATCGTACCAACGTTTCGATCTTTACTGAGACCATCTTCAGGGCCTAGGATTTATAACCTTTGCGTAAATTAGGCAAATGCGTGTAGGATGTGAAAATAAATTCACTTTTTTCACATCCTACATATATTTGGATAATTTAAACAATGTTTATAAATCCCAGGCCCTGAAGATGGTCTCAATAAAGATCGAAACGTTGGTACGATAAAGAAAATGTTTTTCTACAGCCTANTTTTGAATTTTCCCTCCTTTTTGCCATTTTTCTAAAGGAATTCAAAAGGTGCAGTTGAGATGGGAAGTTGATGTCCGAGTGGATTGAGGTCACGATAGCTCAGGTGGTAGAGCAGCGGCGTGTCAAGCCGAAGATCGTGGGTTCGAATCCCGCTCGTGCCATTGACTTTTTTATCTCAACTAAAAACCTTAATTAATTGCAATACTCCCTAGTGGTGACCAGGTCGTGCATTTTTGAGACGGAAAATCACGAAACCTTCTCTAAGAGAGGATGGTTTATGTGATAAGATTTGCTGGAAGAGACGTACAGTTGATAGGTCTTGTTAGATGATTCTATTGATGTCGGGAATCTTCAGGTCAGGATGAAGACAGCAAACGATAGTTAGCAATGATTTAAGTAGGTTTTTTTGTTTTTGATTAGAGGTAGCCCAATAATTTCGATGGAAGGTAAAAGGAACGATTTTATGTTGCTACCCAACGAGATTTGGCTTCTGTAGTCAGTAGTAATCGTTGTCGTCTTAGGTTCTTCTTTAGATCATTATTTAGTCATCTGTCAGAGATTGATACAGATTGCTCTGGCATTTAACTGTTTTTTAAAAATTATTATTAATTAAATTTATTTATTAAAACTGGTCTTATTAGACCAACCATTAATGTTATAGAATAAATAAATGTTTACATTCTTACAAACCCATTGGTACAATAAGATTTACATTTCACAATTCACTATTCATTTTTAACTACACAAGTTCATATGGCTTTGTTGTTTTTAATCTTCTGACCATGTTTCGGCTAAGTAAGAGTTTGGTCGCTTCCATATTCTCGTGCTGGCTGAGGCGAGGCTGGTGTTTGGCGGCAAATCTTTGTATTTCCGCCGTGACTATGTAAGTCCTTATTTCTTATGTACCAAGTTGCATTGACCATGTTACGTAAGATTTTATTTTGGAGTGTTTGTATGAATTTCATATTGCTGTGTTTGGTACAAACCCATAGTTGAATACCATATGCCCACATAGGCTTTATGACTTGTTTATATAATAATATTTTATTTTGTATTGCAACGTTGGAGCCATGTCCTGTCAACCAGTATAGTTGTCTATACCTTAACCTATTTCTGTCCTTTTTTTTCTTCATTTCTTTCCATCTCAGCTTGGCATTTAAGGTCATTCCCAGATATTCAGCTGTATCGATGTATGGTATAGTAGTTCCATCGATTGTGCCCGACGGAACATGATCCACTTTTTAGTTTGTAAAGATTAGATGAACTAATTTATGCTGATTTAGCTTGATTTTCTATTTTTTGTTCATTCGTTTATCTTATTACATGCATTTTGGAGGATTTTGGTTGAATAATGAATGAATAATAGTCCTAGTGATATCACCGCTGTGTCATCTGTAAACGTTGCAATTTTTACTACATCTATTTTCGGAAAATCACTGGTGTATAACAAGAAAAACAGTGGACCTAATATGTTACCTTGAGCTACTTAACTGTTGCGCGCCTTTTTTTTAAAAAGATGGTAAGTTGAAAAATTAGCACTAGAGAAATAAAATATAACGCTTTAGGAGTTTTTGACGATTTCATTTTTATAACTTATAATGACATGATATATTATGTTCGTTATTAAAATCGCAAACAAGAAATATTCTCATTTATTTACCTCATTCAACAAACGAAATTTGTTTTTTTATTATTTAGAGGTAGTGAGGTCGGTCTGGTGTGACATAGGTTGTAGAAAAACATTTTCTTTATCGTACCAACGTTTCGATCTTTATTGAGACCATCTTCAGGGCCTAGGATTTATAACCTTTGTGTAAATTAGGCAAATGCGTGTAGGATGTGAAAATAAATTCACTTTTTTCACATCCTACATATATTTGGATAATTTAAACAATGTTTATAAATCCCAGGCCCTGAAGATGGTCTCAATAAAGATCGAAACGTTGGTACGATAAAGAAAATGTTTTTCTACAGCCTACGT